CTCTCTGACACACAGGAAATATCCATCCCTAAGGACTCTGTTGTACACGCCACATAATCCTGTCGACCTACCTGTATCAGCGTTCTCACGTTGGAGTCCCCGATTCTGTGGTTGACGAGGCTTCCGAATCTATTTTATGCTAAACTAATTACAGTACTATTTGGCAACAAACTATGGCGAGTGACGAACAAGTGGTCTGAGCGAATGTTACCGGTAGGAAGATGGGGCGAGGGGAGAGTGTTGGGTACGAAGACAAAGAATCAAAACAAACGTTGGGATATCTGAACAGTGGCACATTTATTACTTCCCAACCCGCTCGATGCAATGGGCAGTGCGGTCCTGATTATCCTGTTTGACGATCGACGCTGTATGGAATTATTTATTGTTCTTGTATGCATTGGGGTTTGATGGACGGGTACTGCCAGGGTGTTCAGCCACTAAGCAGGAGAAAGATTAGGGATCTCATCTCAAGTCTTTAGTTCTAAGAAGAACCTAACCGCAAGGCGGCCGGTAAACCGAAGTAGAGGCACATTTACTTGGATCTTTTATACCCTTGCCGTTTTACCGACTGAGACGCTAACTCGAGTCGAATCCCCATCCTGGAGAACCAGCAGATGGATTCCTTGTATGTTAATAGACTTTTGCGTGAACAGATGTCCGCAGTTCAGTCAAAAATTACACATCTCATCAAAAGAATGAATTAATATGAGTAGAACATCTAATCTCCAACGTTGCTGAGAAATTCAAAAGAAACGCTGTCGGTTTACAGGGATGCTGGCGAGATAGGGAACTGGGAAATGTTTGTAGAGGTTAATATTAGAGGGTAATATTAGGCGATATGTGGAACGCGTAGCTGAATGAGAGCGACATTTGGATAGATCGCAATGTAGAGGATGAGTGGAATCAGGGAGGATTTTCTGTGCAAACATTTCACATACGAACAAGCAAAGTTCTCAGTTTTCAGATAGATCATCTAATGGGTATAAAAGACACACGACTGATGTTCGAAAAACCTCGACGAAGAATTTTGAAGTCTTTTCTGACTAGACCAGCAAAAGCCACCGGGTAACAATAAAGAAGAACGGGAAAAACACATTGATAAACAAGGAGCGACGTGAATTTTGTTTGGCCTTGAACTGCCCAAGTTTTCGCAGTTGAAAAGATAATCCACGAAGTTTCTGTACAGAGTTGTAAATGTGGGATGTCCACTTTAAGTTTGTATCAATTGTAACTTCTAAAGACTTCACGGAACCTACTCTATTTAGGGGATCTGCGTTTGTGACCGAGGGGTAACGGAGATAAATAGATCGAGAATGCATTCGAAGCACTTCGATGAATAAAGAGACAGTCCAGAAGGAACGGAAAATTCGTGGATATGCGACAGATTAGTGGGGAAATTTTGAAGGTTTTCAGGAGTAGAAATGGCTTGGTAAAGGGCTACTTCGTCAACATATTTAAATAATTGGGCTAGAGAACTCACGGACAGGCCACTGCCAGAGAAACATTGTGCGAGCTGTCATAGCACAATGAGACACCTGGCGCTCACATTGCAAGAAACTGGACTCAATTTGGCCCGATCCACAGGTCCTGCGACCTGACTATGGTCATCCGAAATTCTGTGCAACACTCTGCTGTCCACATCAAGCAACTTCAGATTTCCGGCCACTGGATTTTATCTTCTTTTGGCAAATCGGTTCGTAGAAGCGAGAAGAATTTACGGAAGTTTCAAAAAATTTCCCAAGAAACATCTGTCTGGAGGGCAGGTCACACTATGCAAACGCTCAATTTCAGAAATCTGAATTTCAGCAATCATCGGTGGAAACCTTAAGCTCCCTGCTTGGTAATAAGGCAGAATAGATCTGATAAGGAGACGTGAGTATTCAGAGGTTGAAGTCGTAATGCTTCGGGAGAGCTGGCTCCACAACAGAAGTTTTGAAAGTACTCAAGTCCCTTAAATCAAATAAGGCACCTGGTTCTGATTCATTGTCCTCCTTTCCGTTAAATCTGCTGAACAACTTGCTTCACCTTTTTGCGAGTTGTTCAGTTTGTGTATGTCATCTGGAAGCATCCCTGGTTGATGGAGAGCTGTCCGGATAACGTCAATCCCCAAAATGAATCTTCCAAATACCGACCGATTGCTTGCACATCAGCATTATTGAAAGTTTTCGAAAGACCTTCCTAACTGGATGACCCTTTTACCTGTCACCCATGACCCTATCCAGTTTGCTTACAAACCTTCGCCTTCCACTCTTGATGCTGTCGCTCACGTTATTCACTCCGTTTCATCCTTATTGGATAAACGGTCTAGCATCGTCCGTCTCATTTTTCTCGATTATGCTAATGCTTTCGGATCACTTAACCGCGGCATTCTCATTCAACGTCTGGCACCTGATTTGCTGAATGTACCAATCAATTACTTCACCCAAAGGATGCAACTTACTTTTTGTAAAGGTAAATCTTCCTCCCTGCTAGAAGCTAACTCTGGGGTTTTCCAGGGTACTATTTCGTCTCCATTTCTTTTTTCACTGTACATTAAGGACTTTTCCATCCCTCCCAACTTTATCGCGTGCAAGCATGCTGACGACGTAGTGGTAGGTTGTCCTTCGACTAATCCTGACTGTTTCTGTCAACTTCAAGATTGTCTAAATAAAAATTTTAGTTGGTCTACGCCCCGATCTCTAATGCTCAATGTAGATAAATGTTTAGATATTTCCTTTAGCCAGGCACGCATTATCAAACCCTTTTGAGTAACCAGCCTAAACTTCCTGTTAATGGTAATATCATCCCCAAAGCTAACCCTGCCAGACATCTTCGAGTTACTTTGTCACATAATCTTTCTTGGTCCAAACATGTTGAAAACAATTATATTAGGGTTTGTAGACTATCCTTCTACGCTTTAATGGTTAAAAAGCTCGGCGTTCCCCTAAATGTAATTCTAAGGATTTGGTAACGTAATGAACGAGGATGACAGTAACCCAAGTGGACGTGTTTGATCCTTACGCAAACTGGAGAGGGTCTTCGGAAGTACTGAAAGAAGCAGACAGGTGTTTGAGAATGACACGTTCAGCCAATTTAATACCGCAGGATGTTAGCAATGGGACGGAAACGTTTAGACCGGGTGCTGGACCTATGCGGTTTTCGAATAGGAATGATCGTGACAGCTGCTCAGGAATTAGGAATAGAAGACGTTCTAAGTGATGTGCTGAGGATAGAAGTAAAAGCATCCTTTAGAACGAGGGCACCATGCCTTAGAAGGGATGAACATGGACCGTCGGGGCTGACTTAGTTGTTCGGGAGTTTAAATATTTCTTCTCTCGAGAACGGAGTTATATTAGCAGCGTCTACCGGAATTCATGAAACACGAAGACCGCTACTCGGATGTACAAATGCACGATTCATACTTCCAACGTCCACAGTACATTTATCTTATCTGTATTTCGCTCCACATAGGATCTGGACACCTTTCCATTGATGTCTCCTGCTCTGGCTGCATAGTTGATTACCATAGGATGAATCGATATGTTTAAAATCCTTTTTATCCATGTGGAAATATAACTGACCATTTATGAGAACGCAGTTTTCACACACCTCCCCGCTGCCTTGCGGGTCAGGCTTTGGCTAACCGAAGGCTCCGTTTGTGGATTCAAGAAAATTCACCTGCCTGGGCCTGGGCAATCTGGCAATATTCAGCCCGCATGCAAACCAAGGAACGTTCCTTTTTTGTAAAGTTTGGCGTCAGATGTGAAATATAATGATGAGTTTCGGGATTTGTAGAAATGTACCTTATCTCCTTATTGTCTGACCTTTCAGGCATGATAAAGCCATTCTGTGCAACTCGTTGGATCACAGAGGTACACAAACCATCACATCACACCGAGGTGCAGTCTCGCGCCGTAAGTTTCCGAAGTTAATTTTAACATGTTTTATTGGATGTCACCGGGATATTTTGGACCTTATGGTTCCAGATTCAAACCCCACCTCCATCATTGGACTTTGATGGTAGACACCTTTGCTACTATCAATTTCAATGTCAGGCTTAATCCAACGGGACCTTATAAGGTTCAACAGTCCAAGTTACGGGGCCTAGACCGCCGGTTTCCACAATCAAACAGCAGGCCCATGCGACTATGTGATCCACCAGATCTGTTCTTCGTCACACAAGGATGTATAATTTTTTTAAAAAACAATGGAAAACAACAACCTGCAGCAGGGCTATCGTGATTCGTTTTATTAGTTCGATTTGGGAATCGGTTTGAACAGAATTTTAAATTACTACGCACGCACGAAATACAAGAGCAGATACACTGCATGGTTCAGCCCTTTACGCTCATACTAGCACTTGTCACAGAAAACCTTTGCTGGCTTGCAAGTAGGGGAAACAAGAACGATCTGAACAGAGTGGAATAAATAACGGCTTGCACTGAACGAGTGTTGTCTTTCGCTAGTGACGGCAAAAAGATTGATTAATACGACGGACCTAAATACCGATGATTACATTGTTCAAATTTATCTTAAAAATCAGCTTAGTCCCGAGGTAAGGGTACCCTCCCACGTCGCTGCTTTTACGACGGCGATCCAATTTTTTTCTAATTAAACCAACTACAGTAATCGGTAATCAAACGCTTGGGGTTGCATTTTATATGACCATTTTCACATCGCGATGTCGCAAATATACAAAAACGGCACTAGCACAGCTTGACCAGTGATTTATTCCACTTATGAAATGATATACATGTAAGAGAACGGCAGAGCAAACATTCGCAATGCTTTGTTTGTACAAGATGCAACAATGTATTGTTGCATATTGAAGACAAAAATATTCTGATGGTAGATTATACACTTCTGTTAAGTGTAAAAACAACGAATGAAAAGTATAGCTCAGAGTGGGGTGTGGAAACAAGTTGGATACAAGGAAAGGTGAACGTACAGACTTCATGGGGAGGGTGATCTCATGAAATTGGTAAAAAAAAGTAAATCAGGCGATAAACACACAAGTGCGACTAGAATCCTCCTTCGGGCTGACCGTTCATAAATGCTTCTTGGATCTCTTTCACCATCTTGATCCGATTCAGGACAACCTGTAACTCAGTCGGATCCATAGGCGTGGTAGAATACCAAATGGACGAACCATCAGGGGGGTACGTTGGTATCAAGTAAAAAGCCTCAGGTGAAGCAAGCATGTTCGGAGGGCTAGAAACGCCAAACAAGAGAAAAGGAGATGTCAGAATAATATCGAAAGCAGCCACCAATAATCAAAAAGCAAGTAGTATATCGGTTTGCACGACCGCTTGTAAGGCAGGAAACTTCCAGAAAGCGCGATCACGAAAAGCATAATGAAGATACATGCAGATACTTGCATCCGTCCAAGATGCGGATTATACACGGTATTTCTGAAGTGCAGGTATTTCCTCGCAAGGGAAAACAATGGAAGCTAGCAAAACTGGCGCACGGCACTCACCATCTAGATAGATACGCTTTGAACAAACCAACGGGACATCGCTCAGGGAAATCAATATTCATTTCGACACGAAGAGTAGTAGTCCCGTCGGCCGCTCCACCGAAGACCGCATCGGGAAGGTGGCATAGAATTGCGGTATTGGGTGATTCTTCATCGGTCAGTTGAAAGTGAGCCAGGGTCAACTGGCGATGCGCAGCGCCCAAACGCAATCCGAAGTGCTTTGTGTTGAAATACAGCATTGTGAAAAGCAATATCTAAGGCAGAAAGAAATAAGCAATATGTTAATCAGGTGAAAAAGCCACGCTTAAGCCAAGGGAACAAACAAACCGGAACTGTGATAAGCCAAAAGGATAACCGCAACATACTGGAGGTCAATATGGCAGGTGTTTGCTAAAATGATTTAGTTGTAGGGTTTAAATGGTGAAACTGGAGGGTCCACATAAGATGATGACAGTGAATCCATCCGGGCATCAGTTTTTGTTTTATTTTATTTATTCATTTTTTTCTAATTTACACCACTGTATGGTGAAATTCAGGATAACAATAACCATGAGAACCGGAAGTTTACTTTCAGCAGCCGGTAATTGGAATCCTGGGACCTGGTTGGGAACTCCGTAATGTCTTGACTGATGGTTTGTTATTATACCAGAGGTCAATGAATTCGCTCATTATCGGAGATCGATGAGGGTGACAACATTTGACCCATAGATTTCAGGAACAGTAGAGTAAGAAAAGAGAGGCAATCCGTGCTCAACTCATTACTCCATTACCCGTATTACCACTAATCTTAAATCTTAACGTATCCTGATACGGTAAACCCACACCGATCATGTGATTCACGTTCTAAAGACCCTGAAATGGACGAAAATCACCCAATTTTGTCTTATCGATCGTATGATTTACATATTTTGAATCCATTGTTCCTATCAGCGCCACCCACTCTCATAAACCTCATTTGCTCTTCGACATTTCCTGAATCCTTAAATTTGCGTAACTTTAGCGATGCGTGAAATCCAGTAAGTACTCTCCAGTGAAGCACATAACAAGTTGAATGATAGAGGACACGAAGTGTGCAGCTCTGCAATGCTGATATCGACAACGTGAATGTACTTCTTAGACATGCAGATCACTACATCTTTTTTGAAGGTACATACTCCGTTAGTCAGGTAGTACCTGGGACGTAATTTCCATTTCCGTTACAGGTGTACATCTCTACGGCGGGGTCAATTATAGAGAACTAATGGAGCCATTCATGTTTCATCGTGCGTTCGTCCATTGACCAAATACTATTTCATTTTCACTTGTTACTCTTTGAGGGTTTGGATTATTTTTCTGATTTAAATCTACATGAGATTGTAGATATTTGATGGATACTTGTACATTGCAAAATTCTGCGAGTTGGAGCAAGTTTTACCGAATGAAATTCGCTTCCTTAAAAAACACTTGCGACGGAGTGAAGTCGAAATAAGTCATTTGTGATAGAGGGAATAATCTATATCTGTACTGCTATATGATAGTAGAAGAGCCACTTACCTCTGGACTCTGATCACCCAACTGACGAGCTTCCCATAAGTGCTCTTCTTCAATCCGACAAATCAGCAAACCTTCGGGGCTGATTCTCGGCTGAAAATTAGCTAGGATATTATCCAGTGCTTCAGAAAAGTCAGCAAAGGTAGGTCCACCGAACAAATTGATGTTGCAGCCATTTTCATTGAGATACTCTTGGATGCCTATTTAAAATTAATCAATTAGGTTGCGATCGGGAAGGAAGACAGACATATAAGGCCTTACAAACTCA